ATCAATACACCTGTTATCATTGAAATGGAATAATAATCATAATATGATAAATTGTAATAATGTTTGTCACACCTGAATTTTCCATTAGTCCAGAATATAAGCTTTCCCTAGTTTTATTTATTTTTCAATACTTTTTTGGGAAATTAGAGGTTGTTGGCTATAATATATTTTCAATTTTATCACACTAGATATACCAAGTAAAAATAACTAGTAGTGAAACATAAAACTGTAAGGATAAAATACAATCAACTATCAATTGATTGAAAAAATATCCAAATTAACTTGAAATAGAAAACATTTTTAATCAACAAAGGAATATAAAAAACATTAGATAAAACAGAGAATATTTATTTATTTACAAAGGAATTTCAATTTATAAATGCTGCACATATACATTTACAGATTTACTGCTAAAAATAGACATATGAGAGAAATTCTTTTTACCAATTGAATTTATCCTAAGTCTAAATACAATAAACCCCTTAATAGACATATGAGGGAAATTCTTTTTACCAATTGAATTTATTCTAAGTCTAAATACAATAAACCCCTTAAGAATCCTTGTCATTATCTTTAATAATGTGACAATTAATTATGTGTTCTTCATCAACAGAACTCATTTTGGTAATAAAGGAAGAAGATGGTCCGGGGTTGCGCTCATAAATAGGCTAAATAGTGGTAAAACTATTTTATTGAAAGCCGACGTTTCGACCCGACTTTGCAGGTTTTCATCAGGGCTACGGTTACTGACTAGTCCAACTAAAGTTCTATAGTACTCAGTTGCTGTAGTTGGACTAGTCAGTAACCGTAGCCCTGAAGAAGACCTGCAAAGTCGGGTCGAAACGTCGGCTTTCAATAAAATAGTTTTACCACTATTTAGCCTATTTATGACCGCAACCCCGGACCATCTTCTTCCTTTATAATGCAACGGTCAACTATTAAATATTCATTTTGGTAATTATTTACAAGTGGTTATTTACAAGATGGCCGGAGGAGTACCACTTGTAAATAATTACCCTCATTTTTCTCTATGTAAAATCCTCTTAAATCACCTCTTGCTGAGTTGATTTGGGCTCATATAGGTTTCCAAAATGACTTAATCCTTTAATTTGTTACTTTCTTTTATTGATTTTCCTTTGTAATTCAATAGTTATGAAGGAAAAAGATTAAAATGAAGTTTGAAACTTGGTTATAGAAGATATTTCTATAGGTTGAGACTATTAGCTAATACAATTTTTATTTTGAAGTCAGTGATTTCAGGTATAATATTGAAATTTGGTTTTCCTTATTGGTTATTGTTACTTTCAATATTAAAAATATGAGTGTAGTTGATGATCCTTAAATGATAATCTTGACCTTAAATGATAAAAAAACATCTTGAATAAACATTAATAGTTTTAGGATTTCAACAAGAAAAATAATAATTTCATTTCAGAACTTTTGCAGTACAACAATCTATTTCTAAAAATCAGTCATGATGAGTATCATATCATTTATTCTGGCATAAAAGAAAACTACTTTTAGTTACTAGAGATCTCAATAAAGCTAAGGATCATCAACTATACTCATATTTTAATGATGAAAGTAATCATAACTATAAAGGAAAACCAAATTTCAATTTTATACTAGAAACTACTGACTTCAAGATAAAAATTGTGTTAGCTAGTAGCCTCGAACTATAGACACTAGCTTCTTATAACCAAGTTACAAACTTGATTTCCATCTTTTTCTTTCATTACCACTGAATTAAAAAGGAAAATTAATAAAATAAAGTAAAGAATTAAAGTATACTCACGATTTTGTCTATGAAGAAGAAACCAAAATTATCACTTTAAACACTAATATGTATAACTATTAAATAAAAAGTACCTATTAGTAAACTAAATATATTACTAAAACAACATAATTAAACTTTTAAACAAAATATCACTAATAAAATAAGAGTCTGTGAAGATGAAACCTATCACTGAACATTAAACCAAAACTACCACTTTAAACACTAAAACGTATAACGGTACTTTTAGTCTAGCAGGCCGGACTGAAACCTCACCTCTTATCTATCTTATCAAACGTCACGTCACATAACCTCCCTCTTCTTATCCCCTTTCAGTTATTGCATTGTTTAGTTTTCAGTTATTCCCTTATTACATTCACTTATTAAATTGTTTACTTTTGGTCCGTTTGTGTTTATTTTTCATTATTTTTAGTTTTTGGCCCGTTTGTGTTTATTTTACTTTTTTTTTAGTTTGTGGCTCCTTTGTGTTTCTTTTCGTCATATTATGGATCTTCTTAGAATATGGAATTTGACGCCTTCAGAAGAACAGGCACTTCAATATTTTTAAAATGTTGGGGTACTTGCCGACTTGAATCGACGTGTGATCGAGGTCATCGAATGAAGTCAACCAGGAAGGCCAAATGGAGATGCTTTCGTAGGACTTATGACACAAAACTTTCAATAAGGAAAGGAACATGGTTGGAGGGCTCGAGGATTTCGTTTTTAACAGCTTTAAAATTGATTTATGGATGGTCCCATAGCTTGACAACGATGAAGTGGGCCAAAGAGCAGCTGAAACTATTCAACAGAGCTATGGTAACGTGGAACAAATGTCTAAGAGAGGTTTGTGCCCATGACATGTTATACAGGCCAAGAAAAAAAATTGGAGGACCTGGCAAAGTGGTTGAAGTAAAAGAAAGTCTTTTTTCTAAACGAAAAAATCATGTGGGGAGAGTTTTATCTCAGCAGTGGATGTTTGGTGGAGTTTGTCGAGAAACAGATGAATGTTTTATCTTTTTATAAAACCGATTTCGTTTTATATTTTTTCTTTTCTATGTAAATATGTTCTTTTAAATGTGTTTTTTATTATTTCATTTTGATGTTTTATATGTACATGTCTTCTTAAAGTGTTTTTTTTATTATTTCATTAATACATGTCGTCAAATAAAAGTATTTTTTTTGTTATTAAATTTGTTTTTGTATCTTTTTACACTTTCAATAATACGAATTTAATACAATAATACGAAAATATGAAGTAAAAGAAGGCTTATCAGTGCTTTATGGGAGTTATCAGTGTTCAGGTTATAAACATTGGCAGATAGCAGTCAGTAGCGGCCCCTTAGACGAAAAGTACCCGTATAACTATCCAATAAAAAACTACCTATTAATAAACTAAACATATCACTTAAACAACAAAATTAAGCTTCTAAACTAAAATACTGCCAATAAAATATGAAAAATTAACGGTTTTGAGGTGCCTATGGAGCAAAAAGTGGTGGGGGATTGAGATAGCCTAACATAATTGTAACCTAAATGTAAACAATCCTCTAGAATAAGCGTCCCCACTCCTCCCCAAAAGGCTGCGGGCATCATCGAAATTATTGCCTATTATTGTTCATGTAATTACATTTAATCAGACTTCAAGAATCACTTATCACCATGTCATCTAGGTAGTAAGTTTCTTTTTTTTTTTTCTTAAAATTAATTATCGTTATACATATGGAAAAAAAAGCTTTCCGGCTAAGGCCCCCTCAAAATTATATCCTGGATCTGCTAGTGCACCAGTTTTGCTTATTAGCTCAATTAAAATATTTCACTATCTTTTTTTAAATTAATGGATCATGAAGTAAAATAAGTTTAATTTACGGTACAAAATATGTATCAAATTACGTACAGTTGCCAGTAGAAGTTTTCATCCATGGACTGATAAGAGACAAAACAATGAACAACCATTCTTCCCTACATATTTTAAACTTAAACATCATTTCATGTAGTTTCTTTCAGAGTAATTACCGTTAAAAAAAAAGTGATAATATAATTTTCTTGTCATATTTTTTAGGTTTGGTACCATTTTTTAAAATGTATTAGGCAAAAGGTCACCAACAACAAAACTTTTTCACTTTATTTGTTCATTATTCAACGTTTCGGTCTCTCGAGCCGTTTTGAAGATTGATGCACTTTTTCTTAAAAATTTTTATAAACAGTACCTGAATCTCAAAAATGGCTCGAGTGGACGAAACGTTGAATAATAAATAAATAAAGTGAAATCGTTTTGTTATTGGTGACCTTTGGCCTGATAATATGATGTACATTAAGTAGTAGTGTGTAAAAAAAAATCCGAAGTCCACTACAGGTCGGGATAAAGTAATTTAATAAACATACCATTTCGGTAGATTCATGGTTGGACAAAACCGTTGGCCCAATGTTGGGAAATGGTAGTATTTCAACTATGAATTTTTCGTAGATACTTAGTATGTAAAAAAACCATTAATATTTGGTGGCCCAACACCCCAATGGTGCTGACTATTTCCCAACACTGAGTGAACCATGTGTGCCCGCCTGCTGGGTAGGGCAGGGCTTGTAAGAAATAAAAAATTATAAATCATGTTAAAATCATTTATTTTAGCTTACAAATAAAGCAACTGTATTAGAGAAATGTTGAATGAAATAAAACTTTCATATTTCTTAAAATACTGTTCAAAATATATGAGATTTGTTATAAGACTAATATCTAAGGTTGTGTAAATTACAAATAAAAAACTTCAATTAATTAATTTTATCAGCTTAAAACTTAAATTCAGATTAAATAGTAATGATATCGAGTCCAACAATATCAGGTTAATAGGAATATGAAAACAGCTTATTTCAAAAACATTTATTTTTAAAAATATAAACATACATTTTTTAAATACATATTTCACCTTTTAAAAAAGGGAAATTAAAATACATTAAAATAAATCACAGTCTTGACATATAATTTAAGTTAAATATAAATATAGATACTAAAAAACTATGGTCTTATTATATATTAATAAATATTTATTGTACTTCAGACTTATTATTATGCTGCTTATAAATCATTACATTAAGTATCACTTTAACGTTAAAGAAAGACAAAGTATAAACAACTGGACTAGGCAAAGTCCAAACAAAAACAAAATAATTAAAATAAAAACTTGAACAATTGTATTTTCTGTACACAGAAATAACAAAAAACAAAAGTGGGTAGATAGAAAATAACACTTATTTTGAGAAATCTCAAAAATAATCATCAATAATCTGAACGAAACAATGTCGTCCGAACTAACTTCATAAAAATAAATTAAATTACACAACAATTTAAATTTTCAGTGAACAGGAACAATGGACCACAATGTGAAGAACAATTTGATTAACTCAAATTAAAACTTTTACAATAATATAAGATCTACTTCACTTTTAGTAGCATCGTCACCAACCTTGGTTTTTGGTAAACTATAATTAATATCAACATTTTCATTTTTCTTTCTACTGTCAGTCTTTTCATTATTAAAATTTAAATTTTCTATCTGAAGATTTACATTGGAAAAATTGAAAACTCTTTCCTCCTGTCTTCCTGTTTTGCGAGTCATCTACAAAATTTGAAATGGAAATAAATAAATAAATCAATGCACAGTAAATTTTCGATTACTCATGGAATTGAGTAACATGATTGCTGCAAATAACTGAACTTTATGGATTGTAATGTAAATAAAAAGTTATAGAACTAATGAAAAGCACATTATCTCACAAAAAATATATTATTAGATCTGTGAATTAATTTACATTAAGAAAAATTGATAATTTTTTATTATGTTTCTTTTTTTTTAAAAGGCTGGAAAAAACTTTCTTTTAATCTACGATTGAATTTTCATGAACCAAGTTTGTCAGAAAGCAACCATTGCAGTATTGCCGCATCAAGTTTCTAGTACATTATTTCATTAACTTTACTTTCTTAATTGTTGATAAAATGGCTAAAGCCGATGTAAAAAAAAAAAAAATTGTATTTAAATTTAATTTAATTTTCATGTCACAGGTTAAACAACTGGTAGATGATCGAGAATTGACTGTATTAAAATAGATGTCTAAGAAAATAAATATGAACCTTTTCATCTGTTTCAGTCTTTTCATGTATTTGTTTTTGAAGGTTGTGCATTTTTTCCTTCAAATATCCAAACCTAAAAGAAAAAATAATTAAGTTTTTTTACATACAACTGCATTTATAAGCAATAAAATATTTTATTACAATTGAATTCATTCTCTAATATACAAAATATTAAAATATATATTTTAGTAAACGGCTTTTTTAAATCTTTATTTTAGAATTATACGAGCCAATAATGAAATGTAATAATTTTCTTCATCTAAGAGCCTTCCCCTCTCCTGTGGTGTCCCTCAAGGTTCCTCTCTATCTCCTACTCTGTTTGCTCTTTACATCAATGACCTTCCCCTCATGATCCGTCACTCCCAATACCATATCTATGCAGATGATTTCCAAATATACCTGTCCTTCCCCCTCTCTGACCCATTATCAGCCACAGAGAAACTATAAGAAGACTTGGATAGGATTTGTGAGTGGGCGAGAAGTAACAAGTTGAAGTTGAATGTGGGAAAGATGAAGGCGATCTTAATAGGCTCCAATTACCTCCTTAAAACCGTTCCTAATATTCCAACTCTGTTCCTGCATGATAATCCCATCAAATTTTACCTCACAGTCGAAAACCTTGGAATAACCTTTGATCAAACACTTTCCTGGAAAAACCATGTATCCAATATTTCCCGCCGTACCATTTCCATTCTAAAACGTCTAAATTATTCTCGTCATCTATTTCCATTTGAAACTCGTAGGCTCCTAGTCACTTCTTTAATTTTCCCCCACTTTGACTATTGCTATTCGATATATGGGGGCGTCTCTGGGGATCTCGAGGCGAAACTAAAACGTTTAATAAATTGTTTTGTAAGATTCATCTTCGGGATAGCAAGGGACGCCTCCATTTCCTATTTTTATGCAGAGTTGAAGTGGCTTTATCCTTCCAACCATCGTAAATATTTCCTGGCATCCTTCCTCTTTCAAGTTATCCAATCACACCGTCCTTCATACATCTCTGAGATCCTTCAATTCAAATCCTCTGTTCGTTTCCGGTCTTCTGACTTATATATAAGGGCCCACTGAACCGCTGCTTCCAACAGATCTTTCATTATCCGATCCTCATCCCTTTGGAACTCCATCCCTTCTCACATTCGACAATCTAATACCCTTCCTACCTTTAAATCCTGTCTGTTCAATCATTTCTTATCCATCCAGTCCCGATGAAATTGTAAATAGATACTAATGTAAATATGTATATAAATTATTAGCTTGTTCTTCATTATTTTTACTTCATCCTTTTTATTTAATTTTTTAAATTTTAATTATTAACTGATTAAAATTAGAAAGTAACTTATAATTTTTAATTTTATTACTATGACTGTTTAATTACTCTGTATCTTTATTTATGTATCTCTGAGGCTCCTTAGCCCATATTTATGTCTTTCTGTATTTTTCTAAAGGGACTCGTCCCAGAATAAATAAAGTATTATTATTATTATTATTAAAAAGGCGGTCGATCTCCTGTAGGCTGGTGTTTGACCATTACAATATAATTATATGTAATAAATAATATTTTTCTCATTTCATTTTCCATATTTAAGATTTATATCCCTAAAAGTAACACTTTTTTACTGAAATAAAGAGAAATAATAAAAAAAACTTGTCATATAAACGACATCAGATGTCGGAGTCCGCTCCTACAAATACTGGCCATTAATGAGGACACAATCAACAGATAGACTCTGAATAGGGAATATAGTTCACCTTTGTTGTCAAACAATAGCAATATACATTGAAACTGATGTATGCCTCCGGCGCCTGATGCAGTTAGGAACTTCATAACTAGTGTCAGTCACCGGGTACCAATATCATCGGGAAAGACATTTAAGAGATATCATGCTCAGCAGCTAACATGTCAAATAACAATATTAATATTTTAAAACCAATAAAACTTAGTACAACTGCATAATCTAGGAAGTTAATCAGTCATAAATTTTTAAAAAATATTAAATAAAAAATTTATTCTAAAAACTTACGAAGAACTTCTCAGTATAGATATCCAAGAAAATACAACATCATCAGATCGAGCAGAAAACAAATATTTAACATCGGGCTCGTAGTTAAAAGTGATAGAAAAAGAAAAAGGAACTTCGCCATTTTCTTCATATTGCACATTGTAATTTTCGAGAATAAAGACACCAGCAGGCTGTTGAAAAAATAAAATAAAATAACAAATAAACGAACTTAAAATTAACTACTGTTACAAGAAAAAATATAAAACATAATTAAGTTAAATTTATAGTACAAAATATGAAAAGCAGATAATCAATGATAATTATATCAGAGTTAGAATCAAGAAAAATAAAAATAAATAATTAATTATTCTGGGAGACTGTCTGTTTTTTTTTTTTTTGTATATTAATGTATATATATATATATATATATATATATATATATATATATATATATATATATATATACATATATAAAAAAACACCATAAACTTTTAATTTTGTTTTTAAGGGTTCATCAACCAATTTTGTTATGAGAATTATTAAATAATCAATTAAACATTATTTAAATTAAATTAATCCTACAAGTTATTTAGGATGGATGATTGCACAGTCTAACATTCATTTAAAGGAGATAAAATCACCTGAAAACAAATTTGTTTGATACTTTGACCTTAACCCTTGTAGCAATGTTCATTGGTGCCTGTGTTCTTTGCCACTTTTTGCAGACATCCAAAAGTCTAAACAGATTGAGGAAGTAAGACAAAATACAGAAGCAAACAAAATATATCTATATAATTGCGGATTTAAAAACAGACAAGATTAGATGGCAGAAGAGGGATACTTCTTTGAAAACATACAAATTTTAAAAAATCTGAGTGACCAGCTCATTTTCACCAAAAGTACAAAAAAGAATTATGGCAGGTAACCAAGCTTATTTCACAAATTTAAAACTTTTCCAGTCAACACTGTTATCACGAGCAACAGAACTCCAACTGTATAAAACAAAATAAATTCTATCGTGGCAAATAAAATCAGCAGAAACATGAACCTTATTGTAACTCTACAAGAAATACATTAAAAATTATAGACAGGGAAATTTTTTGAATATATGGACCAATATTGGATGAGGGTATGGAGAAGCCAGAAAAATAGCAAATTGTTTAAGTTGTATGGATCTTGTGACAGTATATTAAGGTAAGAAGAATAGAATGGTTGGGCCACATGCTAATGGAGGACAGCAGAACTCAAAAAAAGAATGTTTGGCATCAGAAAAAAAGTACAACCTAGGACACGATGAGCCCAGGATGTCGCAAAAGGATTGACATCACTTGGTATGACGAACCAGAGGAACAAAGTGCTCTGCAGAGAGGACTGGTACAATATTGTCCACCAAGCCAAGGTCCACCACGGGCTGTAAAGGTATTCATTAGGTATTTACTAAGGTCGTAGTTTTGGTCTGCCACTTTTCATAATAATCTTAGACCTGAAATTAAGAAAAGCTGAACTACAAATGAGGTAGTTCCATCTAAGAACAAAAAACCTTCATTCCACAAAATTTTGTACGTTAGCATTTGTCGATAACCTTGTCTTACAAGCTTCCAATGGCCGAGATCTCAAATACAATAGAAACGTGTTCCAAGAAATTACTGCAATTATTATGAAAATCAATTTAGCACCAATACAACCACATAGGAAAGAAGCCCCCAAAAATAATGAGGATTTTGAGGGCGAATGAGGAGATAAGAGTGAGAGAATAATTTGATGAAAGTGATTATATCAATGAGGAAATGACACGGAGAATCAGAGCAATAGGTTGAGTTTGGTTAGTTACGGAGGAGTTTCCTTGTAAAAGAGAGGCAACAAAGAAAATTAAAATAGTATTTTACAAATAAAATTTTCTTCCTATTCTCTCGTACTCTTCCAAATTGTGGACTCTAACCTCAAAATACAAGGTCCAATCAATAGAAATGAACTACCTTTGCAAAATAGAAGGAAAAATCCAACAGGATAGAATCTGGATTTTCACTATTCAGGTTAACCTCTCAATTAAACTGGCTAAACCTTCCTTGAGGTTTTTGGAATTTCACAGGAAACAGAACTTTCTTTTCATAATTATACAGTTTTTAATTTTTAAACATGTTAAGCCAAAATATATGTTTAAATATGTACATATAGTGTTGTAAAAGGCACACAGGACTTAGCAGAGGTCTCAATGCGGTCTGGGGGACTAAGTGGAGGTCTCATTATAGCCCATAGGCCAAAAAGTTTGAAGACCTCTGAATTATAGTCTTTCTTTTTCAATAAAGGGGTGAGATAAGGAGCTCTCAAGCTTTAATTTTATATAAGAACATATTCATAACTAGAATGCATAGTTTCCCAGACATAAGTGGAAAAAACAACTGTTTGAATCATGAATTCAAATTTTTGACTTGAAATCTCTAGATATAGAGCAACTGGAGTAAAGTAATATGTTTTTAGATGGTAAATACTATAAATCTAATGGGTGATTCTCAATCTGTAAGAGTGCCATGAGAAGTAATGCATAGTAGTAAAATTATCAGCTTGAATACAGAAATAATGTATTAAATATGTGTTAAACCTCCTTAAGCATCGGAAATGTCTCGTTCATTTTAAAATAAAACAACATGTTGTGCTTGAGTTTGAACCACCGCTCTTTAAATCCTGCAAAAAAAAAAAAAAAAAAAATGATTTCCATAGAACCACAATTTCACATTTAAGTAACATATTTTTTACTATTATTCAATATTCAAACTTTTTAAAATTTATATTGGATTGTCCGAAAAACAACGTAGGATTTCGAGTTTTCTTTAAAATACCCCTCTATACAGGGTGTCCCGTAAGGAGAGGGAAATATTTAAAACATTGATAGTAGACATCAAGATCTACAAAAAAGTTCATATAAACAATTGACCAATTTCCAGCAGAAAAGTAGAAAATTTAAGATTTATGTTTTTTTAAGCGTCACGTTTTTTGTTGAATAGGAAGCAATCACTAGAAAAAATTCTAATTTAAGTTATTAACTATTGCTCTATAGTAAACAAGACAAAATTTACTTCAAATGAAAGTAGGATTTGTCATTTTTAAAACTATTTAAAGGAGACTATTCAGCGGATAAACACAGCTAAGTTCTGTTTAAAAAAAAATCATAAATTATTTGTGTTTTTTTTTTTTATCTCTCTTCAACTGTACTACATTTAGCTCACTGTTACAAAAACTTCCAAGTTTAATAAGCTTAATTCCATATTAATTAAGTTGAGGTTTAATAGAAAAAAATTTGGGATTCACCTCAAGTTTAGTAAAGAAATGATGTGATTTCCTATTCAGTTATCTTAAAGTACCTGTGATTTCTGCAAAAATTACTACAATTAACTGTTGCAAAGCTTTTATTTCTTGTTGTTGCGTGATATATGATGTATTGAAATAAACATAACTGACTAAAAACACATTTTATTTATAAATATAAAAGAATTAAAAATATTGATTTTTCAAATATCAATTCCTATGATTGAGATATGGGAGAAAAACAATTTCATAACCATTTTACATGAAAATTTTTTTAAAAATCATTATTTTTAAATTTTTATTTTATTTATTAAATCATTATTTATAAATAAAATGTGTTTTTAGGCAATTATGTTTATTACAATACATCTCATATCACAGCAAACAAGGATACTTTTAGGCGGAGATGGGCATATTTATATTAAAAAATATAAATATGAATACCATTTATATTTATGATACTTTTGAATATAAATATGAATATATTTATATTCAAAAAAAGAAAAATGAATACAGATGATACGTATTCACAGCTGTAAATATAAATATTCACCACTTTCAAAGTGAATACGGCTGTATTTACAGTTGTACAAGTGAATACAGCTCTATTCACCTTTATTAAAATGAATATGCCTAAATTTACAGAAGTGAATGGAAATATTTTCATACAACAACCTTATGAATGAATACTCTTATTTATTAAATAAATATTAACTTATTTGCTACTTTAGGTATTTTCCAAAATAAAAAAAAAGTATGCAAAAATTAAAATAAAGTTCTGGACAGTAAGGAGTTTATTAAATAAATCTCTTGAAAAATATTGGAATTATTGATGCCAACATGAATAAATTTATGTTATTTTGTGACCATATTATGATATGGGGGATAAATTTTATTTTGTATATGAATAACATAGATTATGAATTTTATTTTTGTTTTTATATCATTATATGGAAAATCTCTTTATTTATATGTAGGCCTTTTATTTATTTATATAATTACATTAAATATTATATGTAGAAGCCCTTAAATATTTCGTACACAATGAGATGTCCCAGTGACGATGTTCAGCCACTTCCGGCACAGATTGTGTCACCTAATACCAGTGAGCAGCAAAAAGAAAACATTACTAAATCAGTATGGCTGCTGGAAGATTAGAACTCATGGTTTCATCTCACCAGGTTGTGACGGCGACTTCCCACGGCTGGGGCATAGTTATCCTATCATGAGGACTATCGTCAGCTGCAACACTGAAGTCAAAACACATAATATGACCAGCCAGCTGTTTTATTTTTAATTTGTGAAATTTTAAGGTGAGTGGCACCCCTTTAAAAACATTACTGGCCCCACAGGTCTCAGGTATTATCACCAAGTGAAATAAAACACATTTGCAGATTTGGCGGACACTTGAACGCCCGCTTCCTCCACATTTTGTCCAATCCGGCATTAATTAATATTTTGGCCCTCTGCAACATTTTGCGAATAGCAGTAAATTATTATCTTTAATAATATACATTTTATTATTAAATTATATTTACACTGTTTTTGTAACCAGCTTTCTGCCCATGGCGTAGCTTTATCTATTTACACTCTCTAATGCCTTTTAGCCAGCACTATTTACTTTATTATTTTGCTGCTTTCATATCCATTATCATGGAATTAAATTCAAGCAAACAGGTTGATTTACTTAAAATTAAATTACAGGAATTAGTCAAAGAAATTAATAGAATTGTTGACTTAGGTCATTTTATAATGTCTAATCCTAGCCAGTTTGAATTATTCAAGGCCTCATTTAATTGTCTCAATGATAATTTAGACTGTTTTTCCATAACATGGGATGAAATTGTGCATTTGATAATTATGAATAATTGTCCTTATTTATTTCCTACTGAAGTCGATATCTAAGGACAACATTATCAATAAATTATCCAATGACCACTCCATTAGCAATTCTTCATCGTTTACTTGCCCTACATGTAAGGTATTTAACCCACACTGCCAATGCAGTGAATTTACAATTGCCTCAGAGGCACAACAATCAGGATGCAATTTTGTTTCTGAGCGTCCAGCTACACCAGAAAAACATGTACCCAGTGACATCTTGTTGGAAAAACATCAATCAAAAATTGATATTGAACTGCATTGCACCTCCAGAAGGTCCTATCTTCACCAGCATTCCTGATGCCCATCTCATTCGATACTGTTACATCCAATGACATTTCATTGTACAACAAGGTTACCACATTGGACTTATCACCACTCCATCCGAGTTCCAAGATTTCGAGAGTCCAGCGCCAATCTCACCCCAGTGCTCCTATTTTCACAGAATCTGAGCGTCCAGTTGCTCAGCTGCTTCAGATCCTGATAAATCTAGCGACATCTCGCTGCCTCCTGCTGATCGTCGACTACATCATGCCTCCATGAGGTCACTAGTCGACTATCAGTCTTTACTGACCGGGCTCCATGAGTCCCATTCCAAAAAATCCTTCATCCAGCTGTGTCTAATACGACATTTCGTTGCAAATTCAGCATCGCACCGCCACGAGGTCATTAGTGGGCACCAGTTTAAATTGAACAGGCTTCAGAAGCCTCATTCCGAGAAATCTGATAGCCCAGCTGCGTTAGATTACAATAAACCAGACGACATTTCATTGGAAGGTCTACATCGTACCTCCATGAGGTCAGTAGTCCATTACCAATCCAAATTGGCCAGGCTTCATGAGCCTTATTTGTAAATAGGCATTATTTTGTAAATAGGCACCCCATTGCGTCATATAAAAAAATTAGCTACATTGCTGTTGGAAACACCCACAAACGGAACAATCCGAGATGTCAATTCATCTTTAAGATATATTCAATTGAATATGGGTTACCTCCAGCTAGGTACATAACTCTACAGCTGCTTAGAGAAACCATATATTTACTTTGGGTGGGAGATACCGATGTAACCCTATTTCCTTCATGCATTCGTCCCTGCTGCTTCCACAGAAATAATGTTAAAAAGTTGGTATTTGCTAACTCGAAATGATTTATACATAAAACGTTTAATTATATTGAACATGAAATTATAATGATTAATATGTTAAGATTATTTGAATTGATCTAATCAGAACAGATTTTAATGTATAAGTATATGTATATATATAGTAATGTACACCTTCATTAGAAGTGAGTAAAAAGGGTTTAATAAATTAATGTTCAACAATTAAAAGGCAAGCTGATCTATTTCTACTAGTTCAAGGAAAAGAAAATGGCTGCTCTGTGGTTTCCTAAGGAAGGAAAATCCCAAAAAGGGAGAGGGAACAAGGGATTGTGTTTTGGAAGGTTGTTGTTGGGTGACTGCAGTGAAGAGAGGATAGGAGAAGTGATCCTGGCTCCAGTGGGAAAAACGCAGTAATAGTATTACCATCTTGGAAGTTGTTTAGAAGAGAGACTAGTTGTTTGGAATTACAACAGAGTATCTCCCAGGGAGTTTGAGTTGAGTAGAAGATAGTGTCAACAATTTGGAAGTTGTGTTTGGCAGAACATTGAAAAGCATTTGAAGACAAATGAATTTAGTGCAACAAAGGAAGAAACAGTGTATATAGAAAAAAGATTAGCTTGCCAATTTATACTTGACTTCATTTTAAAATCAGTGTTTAATTTTAGTGTAAATAATAATAGCTTGTCTGAGTTGATCTGATTGTTAGTAACCCATACCTGAGATAGAATAATTGTAAATTATTTCACTCTTTTTTTAGTGATACTAGGTTAAAAAATATTAGACCCATGTCCTACGAGTTCTAGTCAATATCTCAAGGAACATAGAAAAAATATTTTATAAGATTTGAACTTTTTTTTATATTCTTAGTTTCTGCCTTTGCTGTGAATGGATTTCAAGGTTAAAATATATTAATCGATTTGTTTTTTTGTATAAAATAAGAAAAGAAATATAGTCAAGTGTATTAAATAAAGTCAATGAATAATAAATTACAAAAATCATAAGAAGTTTCCCATAAAGAAGGCCAAGCAAATTTTCATCACGAAAAAAAAAAAATCCAAATCCATTTCTTTCATCCTTTAAAACTCCTAAATATGCATTTATATTGAAATAAAAAAAATATAAATCATTTATTAAAGCATTCATAACTCCTCAGGATTTTTTCCAAATTAAACATTACTACAACTGTTGGAAATAATTATTGCTCTTCCAAATCATATTAATAACATTTTATGCCTTCATAAGGAATAAATAAGTAAAAACCCAAATGTTTTTATTTTATTTCTCCAGTTTTAATTTGTTTACGGTTGTGGTTCTAATTTGGTGAACTTTATTATTATTATTTCTGGTACTACCGCCCTCTAAGGGCATGGGCCTCCTCACAAATGGCCTGCCAGACTGGTCTGTTGGAAGCAACAGCTTTCCATCTTTTAACTCCCAGCTGCCATAGGTATGCCTCAATGTGGTACAACCATCTCATCCTAGAACATGCATATCTTTGGGCACCTGGTGGCTTCCCATAGATGCAGCCACTTTAACATTATCTTTTTAATTATGGCCACTATATCAGGCTGGTCATATAAGGCTCTAAATTCATTGTTCTTTCTAATTCTCTACTTTTGATGAGAGCAGACTGGTCCGTACATTTTTCTAAGCATTCCTCGTTCCCATGAGCTTAGCCATCTTTCCATTTCCTGTGTCAGGATCCTGTCTCACTCACTTCCATAGGTGACCATTGGATGTATAATGGTTTTATAAATAATCACCTAGGCATTCCATGAAAGATCTTTGAGCATTAATGCCTTGCTAATGCCAAAGTATCAACGATTTCTTGCTGCTATTCTAGCCTCAATTTCTTTGTGGAGCTCATTTTTTTTGGTGACAAGAGATCCAAAGTATTTGAAGGCCTCACAAATGATGGAAAGTGTGACCACTGATATTAATAAATTGTGGCTTTGGCAGCAGAGTTTTGTGCACTCCGTTTTTCTCTCATTGATGCGGAGTCCTCCTTTATTGGCCTTCCATTCCAATACCCCACTAAGTGCAGGAAGCATGGTTTCTACCAGGTGGACATCGTCTGCGTAGGCCAATACTTGCATATATATATATATATATATATTGTAGATTCTGCCACCAGGATTGGTTTTAATTCCTCGTACTGCATCAATAGAAATGTGAAAAAGAGTTCCATCCTTGGGATCTCCTTGCTGAAGTTCATTATCAACCGAAAAAAAACTGTCCCTCTGATTTGATTTGGCATTTAGAGCCGCTCATGGTCATACGAACCATATGCCCTATTCTTTTAGGAACTACAAATCTACATAAAACATGCCGTAGATATACCCGATCAACACAATCATAGGCTTGCCAGCAACAATGAAGAGTTGGTGTAGCATGATGTCATATTCATGGGTCTTTTCCAACAGCTACATTAAAGCAAAACTGCGGTCAGTTGACGACTGCAGTTCCCTGTCTACATCCGCTTTATTAGACACCAACTATTCTCTCCACGTGTGCCTTTAATCTCCTCCATATAAAAGACGGAAGAATCTTGGCATCTGTTCCACCACGGCTTTCTGTAAGTTTCGTGCTGACTTCTCTGACAAAAATGCTAAAGTTCATTATCAACAGGAAAACACTGTCTAAGTGTGCCCTTCACTATCATTTTAGGAACTTCAAATCTACATAAATCAAGCAGTAGATATACCCGACAACACAATCATAGGATTTCCAGAAATTTATGAAGAGGTGGAGCAGTATTATGTCATATTAATGGGTCTTTTCCAACAGCAGCCTTAAAGCAAAAATGCAGTCAGTTGACAACCTTCTCTGTCTAAACCTGCTTCGGTAGTCACCAACTATTCTCTCCACGTGTGCCTTTAATCTCCTGCTTATCAAAGATGGAAGAACCTTATAGGCAATATTAAGGAGGGCTATACAACTTCAATTGCCATAATGCAGTCTGTGTCCTTTTTTGTAGATGGGCTTAAAATGGCAATAGACCATTCAGCTGGCATCTTTTCACTCATCCATATATCAACAATTATTTTATACAGCTCACTGTGAACTGCATCTCCAAAGATTTAACTGCCACTTCCAGCTTTGTCCATTTAGTATAGGCATCTGTCTTACCACGGCTTTCTGTAAGTTTCCTGGTGACTTCTTTGCCATACATCTTCGTTCTGAAGTCTATTGACATTGTACATAGTAATCTTTTATCTACTGCTCAATGCTATTTTCTGCTTGTATTTTATGATACTAAGAACATGGTTGGAAATGCAATCTGGCTGTCTAAAAACTTGGACACCTGTTGCATGTATTACGTGCCTGGAATGAACTAGGACATGTTCAATTTGGTTTCTCATTTGTACACCTGGAGAGATCCATGTTTCCTTGTGTGTATATATTCTTAAAGAGAAAATGGGTGGTATTGATTGGTAGCTCTCTTCCAATGGCAAAGAATATAGTTTGTATCATGTTTTAGTGATGCATCTCTAACAACAAGTGATAACGTTTTAAGGTGACTAGTTATTGGGATGGGGGCTGAAGCTGAGAACGTTTCACTAAATTGTTTTTTCAAAATTCTAAGTACATCAAACTGACATTACAGCAAGTTTGTTAATTACTAAAGCGCCTTTGGTAGTGTTTCCAGCCCGGACACAATGACCATTCCTATGAATACCTTCGATTGAAGGTATATTCAGTCATGAACATAATAGTGGGAAGAATATAATAAACAATAGACACTATACAGAATATAAACTTAAGAGGATTAGTTTTCTAAACATATATTTCTCATTCATATCAGTTAGTCAGAAAATAAAAAGTTGTTTATCACTTTGTAAACAAGATAAATGATACAAATTTTGTTATGTTAATTGCTAGTACTTCATAATTGTCACTTTAACATGATGAATGAGCTCAAGATCAAATGGTAATACTGTTCACATAGAATGCTGATGCTAGCTGAATGCATCGGTCTTTTGACATGTAAGGTTATATAACATTTCCAAAATAAGTTCATTTTCCTGATCGAGGATTAGTACAACCCGCTGAACTGTTTAAGATTGTTAACAACATTTAGTTTATATTACATGGAGAATACTCACATAAACAATGGACTTCCAGTAAGTTCATTTTATAGGATACAACATGGAGTTAAATTAATAGTGCACAGAGTAAGGAAACAAATCAGTTAAAACAGTACTTGAAGAAAAACATAATAATGCAACAACAAAAATTAATAAATAATTTAATCAAGAATAGAAAAAAAAATATAAAAAATTTGTGAATTACATCAATTTAGCTATCTTCATTAAAAAGAGAGAAGTTGACAAATATGTTTGACCTTAAATAATTATAGATAGTAAAATTATAACATAGTATTGAAAACAATCTCTTTAATACTGGTTCAAATAATGAAATTTGTAAAAAATTAAGAGGTGTATAGGTGTAACTTACTGCTAACGTATTTATAACAGATGCATTAAGCATACATAGGTTTAGTACTTTCGATTACATAAATAATTAATTGCATTTATGTCTTCGGAGGAATTGGCTATGATCCCTTTAGTTGTTTGCATTAAAAACGGAACAAAACCTAACAAGTAAAAAAATAACAAATGCACTCCACTAGCTTCAGCATTCGGTGATCAGAGTGATTATATGTCTGTTATTCCTTTGGGAGTGACATTTGTGAACTAGAACCATCTGTATAATTTTAAGGTACCAATAAATTCTTTTGTTTATAATTACTCTAGGTCCTCAAAATTAAACGACAAATTCCTCATTCATTCAACCATTACTGCTGACACATTAAAAAACTAAATATATACAACAAAAAAAGGCAAATACCTTTATCATTACTCCAAAACATAGACACTTTTTTGTAGTGAAGTCTGCCCTCAAAATCAGCTTCTTCAAAGCTGATTAATAGCAATTGACGATTATTAACCTTCATTGTTAAACTTAAAAAACGGAACAGACTGATACGATACAGCAAGTTCAAATATATAGTGGACTAATCAGCGTCCAAATCCGCATAGAGACCACAACAAAGAGGTAATTGTTACCGGTAAATGTTTGAAAGCGGCAAATTTAGGAACAAATGGAAAATAAGCCACGCCCACTTTATTTTATCATAACCAATTTTGTTCATACTTATATTTTTTTCATTTCTTCGTAATTTTTTTTTTTATGAACTATATATACCTATAATTTACACCTAATTAATATACACCTATCGATCAGCTGATGAGTGTTAAGATATGTAAAATAAGGTTATGTATATATGGTAGCACTGTAAGTAAAGATAACAGATAGGTTATATGAATCTAGATGTGTAAGCTTGTGAATAAAACATGTAATCATCTGCTAGTGATTATTATTTAAATAAAGGCATACAACAAGTATATATTTTAAGTGTTTATATTACAACATAAAAAGTCAATACTTTTTCTTTCTATATATGTATTTTTTTTAAGTTTTTTTTTCTATTACAACTATAACTATTCTTTAGATCATTGTATTTTAATTTTTAGTTGTTAACATAGTATTATTGAAATTATTGTATGTATTGTTAGAATCTTTATTGAGTTTGTTTTTGTCCTGAATTGTATTGGTTCATTATTGTTATTCTAAGGGAACTTTGTTCCTGAATAAATTTTATTTTCTATTCTATTCTAAATATGTAACTAACTAGATTTAGTAAAAAATATTTGTACATATTTATAATGGTAGCAACTAGGCAACAAGGTGAGGAAATGAAATGTCTGGAGCTATGTACGTACACTATACCAGAAGGGACAGGAAGAGTGTAAGCCAAGGGGAGCCTTCAGCTCACAAGATTATAAAATGCAAGTATTGTGGGTTCGAACATCCCACAGGAAAATGTTCTGCTTACAGACAGACATGTAGAAGATGTAGGGGGCTTAATCACTTTGCTTTCCAATGTAGAAGGGGTGTAACCAATCCAAGGATGGTTAATGAGATTCAAGAAGGATACCCGTCTGAGGATGATGACTTTTTTTTATTAAAATGATAAGAGGGAATAATTCTGAAAGATAGTGGAAGGCTAAGTAGCTGCTTTGTGGACAGGAGGTGACTTTTAAATTGGATACTGGTGCTCAGGTGAATGTGTTACCTGAACGAGTGGCTCATAAACTTGGAGTCTAAGTGGAGCCCTCCACGAAAAATCTCACTACTTACTCTGGTGTACGTTTGCTTTGCTCTTATAAAAATAAGGAATATCATTTAACATTTGAAGTAGTGAGCACACCATATGCATCACCATTGCTAGGACTGGCAGGATGTGTAGAGTTAGAATTGGTTAGTAGAGTGAATACAATAGATTTAGAAAGGTTAAAAGTTCATTATGCTGACCTTTTTAAGGGGATCGGAAAATTAAGGGGCAGTGTACACATTCAGGTTGATCAGAATGTGGAACCAGTAGTGCATCCACCCAGAAGAATACCATTTAAGAGATCGAGTCAGGGAAACCCTAAAAAGTTTAGAAAACAAAGGAATAGTTGCTAAGGTAGATTATCCAACAAGTTGGGTTAACTCTTTAATGGTGGCCTATAAGTCCAATGTAGATGTCCGACGGATCCGAAAGATTTGAATAGGGCCATAAAGCGATGTCACTTTCCTCTCCCTACTATTGAAGAAATAGTAAGTCGGTTATCCAATGCGAAATATTTTAGTAAATTAGATGCAATGTCGGGTTTTTGGCAAATAGCGCTGGATAAGGAGAGCGCAGATCTATGCACTTTTAATACACCTTGGGGAATGTATAAGTTTTTACGTCTTCCCTTTGGAATAAGTTGTGCCCCAGAAATGTTTCACTCTAGATTCCAGAAAATTTTTGGAGATTTGGATGGTTGTGAGGTTTTTGTGGATGATATACTGGTATGGGGTTGTACCAGAGAAGAGCACGATGCTAAGTTGAAGGCTGTTCTAGATAGAGGGAGGGAAGAGAATGTTAAATTTCAAGAGAATAAGTGTATGTTTGGAGTAAAAGAAGTAGTGTACATGGGTCATCGTTTGTCTGAAAGGGGAATACAGCCAGACAAAGACAAGTTAACAGCTATAGAGGGTATGGCTCCTCCTGAATCCAGAAAAGAACTGGAAAGATTTTTAGGTTTAGTGAACTACCTAGGAAAATTTATTAAAAATTTAGCGCAAATTACGGCTCCTTTACGCCTTTTATTGCAAAAAGAGGTAGAATGGCATTGGGAGGAGAACCAACAGACATCCTTTCAGGCTCTGAAGCTGGCTTTAACTACTGAACCTGTCCTTAGATATTATGATCCTGGTTTACCAGTAACTGTGTCTGTAGATGCTTCACGGGACGGTCTAGGAGCAGTTTTAATGCAAGATGGTCAACCACTTGCATATGCTTCAAGAAGTTTAACTGAAACTAAAAAAAGATACGCTAACATTGAGAAGGAAATGTTGGCTGTTGTCTTTGGATGCGAGCGTTTCTATAGCTATACTTATGGTCACCCTTTTAAGGTCGAATCGGACCATAAGCCCTTAGGAATGATCCACAAAAAGCCTATTCATCTATGCCCTCCTAGGTTGCAAAATATGTTTTTAAAATTACAAAGATATGAATTTGAATTAATTTACAAACCGGGAAAGGAAATGTGGGTTGCTGATACCCTGTCAAGAGCAAGTGTTAGAAAATCTAAACAGGAGGAAGAAAAAGAAGCATTTGTCATTGGTTTGATTAAGAACATGCCAATTTCTGATGAAAAACGTGACATTGTTCACAAAGAAACCGAAAAAGATGAAGAACTGAAAGCAGTACGCGGGTGGATGGATGAAGGATGTCCCAAAACTAAAGATCCGTTGCTTGGAAGATATGAATCAGTTAAGGACGAACTGACATTTTGTGATGGAATTATCTTCAAAGGATGCCAGATAGTAGTACCTAAGTCCTTAAAGATGGACATGTTAAGGATAATACATTATGCTCACCAAGGGATGACAAAATGTTGTGCTAAAGCTAAAGGACTTCTTTATTGGCCAAACATGAAAAATGACATTAAAAATATGGTTCCTCACGCCTCTGACACATGCCAGAAACCGTTAAATGAACCAGCAAAATGTGCCCTCTGTGATGAGGACCATCCTTCTAGTTATCGGGGTTGCATGGTCTATAAGAAGATCTATAAGCAAAGGACTTACAACATATCTCTAAAAAACCACGAACCGAAGATTCCTACCCAGGCACAGGTACCTGAACTTCAAAATTTTGCAACGTTTCCTGAATAGCCGAACGAGATAGCATCACGTCGTTCACAACAGCCCTCTACATCAACATATCATCTCCATCAGGACTCCAGGCAACTATATTCAGGCACTATGGTGAAGAATCAGCCGCGACGTCAGACGCCTCAGTCTTCCAAACCTAAATCTCAAACTTCCAATCCTAAGTTCCAGAACTCCCAATCCAAAACTCACATCTCCCACATTCAGTCAAAATTTCCAAGTCAGCAAATGCCTCTTCATCAGATACCTCTACGGGTACAATTACCTCCTGAATATCCAACTCCGGTTTACTCCCACCCTACTGCCCACATTAACTCTTCTTCCCAAGTTCCATCTATCTATAATCCAGCCCCTAGTATATCACGACATGTACAACCTTCATCAGAGACTCCTTATCATAATAGCTGTCCCTCACAAATCCCAGATCAAAACCCACCTGAGCAACAAAACCCGATCGACTTAATAAACTCCACCCTTGCTTCCTTCCTGAAAGATCTTCAAGAAACTATCAAGCCACTTATCACCCTCCTCACAAGAATCCTTACCGAAATCCCCTTTAATATCCCACGATAAGCACAAAGTCCTTAGTTGTTCTTTTATGGAATGCCAACGGACTACACAACCACAGAGACGAACTTGACATTTTCCTTCATGACAACCACATTGATATTGCTCTACTTACAGAAACTCACTTCACTCGACGTTCATATTTCTACATACGTGACTATATCACTTATAGATCAGACCATCCCGACAACACTTCCCATGCCGGTTCTTGCATTCTTGTCCATAAATCCTTATCCCATTCTCTCATTCCTTCTACTCCAACTGAGGCTATTCAAGCAACACCTATTCCTGATAACCCTCCGAGGCGTCTAAAAAGAAGATGGCCTCGGGACCTTCTAATATATAAATATAATTGGAGTGCTACCAATGGGTAGTTTCTCCTCATGTTGTACATGTCATATTACTTGTTGTATTTATTATTAATTACAGTTGTAAATTTCGTTAATAAAAAAAAAAAAAAAAAAGAATTTGAACAACGCCTTAACCACCTCGTGGTCAGTCACGTGACCCTTAGGCCACGCCCACTTTTATCTTATCCCTATCTTAACCACCTAGCCACGCCCCTTTTCAATCACGTGATCAGTCACGTGACCATTAGCCACGACCCTTTTCGATCGTGCGACCTCCATATTTTCCCCCCACTCTTCCCTCGGAGGCTGAGTGTGCCCGGCCGCTATCTTGTTTTCTGATACGAGGTTTTCTTCTTGTATGACGTCATGAGACACTATTTGATCGTGTACCTCCCACCTTTACTCCTCACCCCTCTCTTGGAGGCTGAGTGTGCCCGGCCGCCATCTTGTTTTCGGACACTTTCGAGATTTTCTTCTTGTATGACGTCATGAGACCCTTTTCGGTAGTGCGACCTCCACATTTCCCCCACCCCCACTCCTCTATAAGAGGCTGAATGTACCCGACTGCCATTTTGTTTTACTGCAATTTGAGAGACTTAGGGCGTTGTTAGCCATCTTGTTTTTCTCATACTTTCCTAATGTTCACTTTTTATATTATAACCTTCCTAATATTGATCTTTTGTATAACCTTCTTAATGTTTACAGTTTTCATAGTCATGTGATTGGTCACGTGACCACACCCCATTTCCCCCCGTAACCTTCCTAATGTTTATCTTTTATATTAATACCTTCCTAATATTTACGCTTTA